ATCGTAAAACATGTCATCAGTGCTTTATGTAAAAATATATTTTTTTCGTCGATATTTGGACAACAAGAACAAAGTATTTTTTCCAATAACCATAATTGAAACTAAAACTTTGCAAAACTGAGAAGAACACAAACACGCACATAGCAAAAAATAAAAATCAAAACAACAGCAAAAACATACAAACAAACAAACAAACAAAAACAGATATAAAAATTATTTTACAAAAAGAAATATAGAATTCATAAAATGTGGTTGGCTTAACATGATTTATTATGGAAAGCTTTGAAACCGAAAAAGCCGATTAAGAAAAAATCCTTTAAAATGAAAATTAAGTGCTTCTAATGTAGAGTGAAACTTTCTATGAAATAACATAGTTTTTGAAAACAAATAGGACGCCAGTACAGAAACTAACAGAATATGTGATGTTTTTTGCATGTGATCAAAAATTTCGTTTTGTTCGTTATCAGTTCCTCCCATTTTGCTGTTCTTGTTGTCATTTTTCTTTCGAAGTTTTTAAAATAAAGAATTTATAAAGTAGCAGAATTGCTATCAGTCATACAAATTTGTGCGAGGTCTTAGTCCATGGTTGAAAACTGAGAATCTAAAGGCTTAATAGCACATCCCTGTCTGCCAAAAGACTTTCGTAGCAACTTGTCCACATGTTGCTTCTCTATCTACTAAGTTTCCCAATCAAGCATTATTTGATACCTCCTTTTTACGGATGGGCAATCACAACAACAACAGACTGATACGTATAATATCTGCACGCGATCTCTGAAAGGGAGGAAGTCAGAACACCGAAACGATAGATGTTACAGTCGATTACCACGAAAGCGTCACTTGCAATTTTTTTTAGCTGAAAGCGCTCTCACGACTTGAAATGTGATTTTTCAATTATGCCATCTTAATGTGGGAATTTTTTTGTATTTTTCATTGTTGATAGGATACATATTTTCAAGTTTTAAACCTCAGTTATGATGAAGATGTATATAGCTTGTGAATTGTTAAAATACCAAGATTACAAAGTGTTTACAATCTCTTGTGTAATACCAATTTTTTAGGTCCTTTTAATAGCGTAATAAGGGCCATAAAGTTATCAATATTTTTACCACTGTCAGATGTAATCCTCTCAAAATAATTAAAGCCTTCTCTTACTTTCTTGCCCACGCAAGGTTCAAGTCTCATTAGAGCGGGAAATTTGTGATTGTGTATCAGAGAAACCAAGTTAGTATGGGAAAAGTATCCCCTTAGTCAGTAAGCTAAAGAACACTGCTCGAACAGTAGTGAAAATAAGGCCTGAAAAAATTCAGGCCTGAACGGGATTTGAACCCATGGCCTCTACGATACCAGTGCAGTGACCAACTGAGCTAACAAACTCCTTATTGATTACTGGATCGTTGCCTGGGTCGGACATCTAAAGAGCTCGTAACAACGAGAGAAACCATTCTTTAAAAAAACTCAACAAGTTTATTTGTACTTCGACATAACAAGCCTCAACCATGGATTACAAGTTGGCAAGCCGTAATAATCTGTACAAGATGCAAAGCTAGAGTTACCTTAAAAACAAAATTCTGATCACGAACGAGCTAAAAACAAAAAGGAAAAAAACAATCTTACCAACTGATCGAGACGAGGCAGTATTAAAGCTATGAGAAATCACAGTTTGAGTACATTTTCTATTACGAGCATCTCACCGCATGCGAAGAAAAAACACACAAGGTATCATGTTATTACGTAATAACAAAAGGGAAAATTGTCGTTTTCATTATTGGGTCGTATATTTTAAACACTCATTTCGCTTTAGAAAAGAAGTTGGCGTAGAAATATAAACAAGGAAGACATTTATAGGTGATTCTCTATATTCTACTTTGCGAGTCTGTTAACACGAAGATGACATCGGGCGAGCTCGATGTTCGGAGCTTCTACTTTGTGAGTTTATTATGACGATGACGACACCGGGTGAGCCCGGATTTTTTTTCTTTATCGGAAATCGACCCGATATGAACCCCTTCTGACGAAATGCGAGATGTGCCTTGATTGACAATTCTCTTTCCAACAAGTTCGATTCGCGTTGCATTACAGTGATCAAGAAAAGCAAATTCAGGGCTGTGACTAAAAGTGGCACGAGAACGTAGGACGTGGGACACGCGGACTCGGGGACTCGGATTTTTGCGCTGAATCTGTAAAGTATAATTTTGGGTGGTCTCGAGAAAGGTAATATGCTACCGAAACAAGTAGACTGTTTA